CAGTCTCTACACCCACAACCTCTCACACATGTCTCTATATCCATACAGGACAAGCCCTCAGGCTATGCCTGTCTTACTTAAGACATTTGGGAGAATATTCCTGGGTGCCAAAATTCCAGGTTCTATATGGATTAATTTTTAGAATGATCTTTACTATTTTAGTCTGGATCACCCTTGTCTCTCCAAACACTTCCAAAAATCTCCTTAGGGAACCAGTGCAACCTAGCTACCATTTGCAACAGGCAATTTGGTTGTAGACTTCTTATTTTGGAGATTAAAAGAATTTTGTAGCATTTATGGAGAACATTCCATGCTAGATGGTGCCAGAGAATGGTCTTGGACGTGTTTGACTTACTACAGTAGAGTCACAGTTTCACTGTTTAAAAAAAAACACAAACAAACAAAAAAAACCCAACCCCAAACACTGTACTAGTGGGCTACAACACAACACTTAACCTTAATATAGACAATCTGAAGTAAGAACAAAGAAATGCACGATGAGCAATTTTTTTTTTTTCTGAGGGCCACAGTTAAAACTCAAAGCCAGCTGCTATGTAGTTTGAACGCAGGCAGACCAGGATTGTACACAATGCCATAAAATAGTCTCTGTTCCTGTTACCTCCAATATATATAGATACACAGGTATAGTTTTAAAGGGCCTTTGCAATGGACTGTAAATAATAAAAGTCCCATGACCATGCTGGTTAGTGTATAGAAAGCTTATGTCTCCAGTCAAAGGAAAGGAAGAGAGAAAAAAGGTGACATCCGAACTGGCCAGCCCTTATTGAAGATGTTAGAGACGAGCCTCTCAAGAGCTGAGCCACCTGCATCTTGATTTCCTTTTTTAAATAGTTTACCATTACATTCTTAAATTATCCCTTTATGTAGAAAAAAAAAAAAAGAAGACAGACTGTAACATACTGTGTTGTGTTTAGGCAGCAAGTATTACTGCTCAATAATATACTGTCCACTATTAGATTTTGCAAAACATTGACTAAGCTATTTGAACTTTGAAGTTTGCTGAAATAAACAGTCAATATGCAACAGCTTTACAGCTCTTTTCTTGCTCTTAGCAAGGATCAGTTTAGACTCATTCATGCAGTCCACTATCCAAAACATGACCAAAATTCACAGGTCTGGGAGTTTTGGATCCTTGCTGCTGCTGGCTGTGGTAACCCCAGCTAAGCGCTCTCCAACCTCAGTCATTTTGTTGTGTTTTTCCCTGGAGCTGGACAGGCAGCTTTTTCGTGAAGGCTCAGCACTAATACTTAGCTGTCAGATCAAATAAAATTCATTCTAATTATGTTGAACAGAAATACAGATGCTCTGGAAATTCCCAGGAGGACTTTATAATAGGTGTGCACTGACACTTACAAAAACATACAGGAGAGTTAAACAGTATTATTGACATACATTTTAGGATTCAAGAGCACAATTACCTTTAAATTCTATGGGAGGGTTGGACTCCTGGATTTCCTCAGCCATCCGCCCCACTCTCCCCTTTTTATAAGGCATTCATTGGATCTATTCTGATAATAACATTTATACCAAAAAATTCCAAAAAGTGCCTTATTATCCTGCTTCCTGGGATTCAAGTTATCTCTGTCTCTTTTTGAGCTCCCCCCATGAGGGAGAGCAAGGATGCACCGTAAAAGTGTGAATACTGGAATATCTTATTTTCTTTCCACAGAGCAGTAGACTCTCACGAACAATAATGCTGAACTGATCATTAATTGCTGGAGCTGTATTCTTTCAGCATTTCATCTGCAATAGCTATTCATTATAGCAACATTACAAACTCACACAAAAGTTTAAAATCGTTCTCTTACTAGCCTGAAGACATCTCTTGTAGACAAAAGCAAAAAGAAAAAAAAATGTGCCTACAGGCAAAAATCCTGTCCTGTTCCTAAGTTTGGCAACATACCTATAACATCTTGAAAACACAGCGTGTTTCCATTGTAGGGCTGGGAAGGCATTCCCCCATCTGTTCTTTTCACTTAGCTGTTTTGTACAATATTTGAGAGAGATTATTTTTACCTGTGACAATACAGAAAATCTCCAAGGCAAATTGAATGACACTACTGTTGTTGTTGTTATTATTATTAATATTACTGTTATTCATAAGATTGACCACAAATCTTCATGAGAATGTTTGTGCTTGAGCTAGAGTTCAGCTAAAATCCTGTCATAAATAAAAAAGGGAGCTGGATATGGAGTTATGTTTGAAGTCCTCCCAACCCTGATGAGAGCTATCCACACTCTGAATCCTCTTCTGAGAGTAGATGTTCATCAGAGATAGGCTTAGTCTTTTCAAAACACACCCTTGACATTACTTGTGAGAGGGTATAGAAATGTGGAAGGGGTCTCAGTGCTGTCCGTCCCTCTTTAGGGTGTGGGCACAAGAGTTACAGAGCCTGAAGGAAAGGCAACAAGAAGATGTTTGTCTGTAGCCTGGTGGCTACCTCAGGTGCTTCTGGAGGGGATGCGGCAATAATGGACAAATCCCTGGCTGCACCTAAAGAAGGTGTGCTTTAAAAGGGGAGTATGAGAACCTCCTTTTCTGTCCTGTTTTCATCCTGCTACTATCATCCTAGTATATACACTGGTCAAGATCTCCAGCTCTGTATTGATAAAACTTATGTATGTCTAAGACTGATAAAGCTGTGTTTTCCACATTCCCTCTTTAATAGAGAAAACAGACTAAACCCCCACAAATACTTTGTGGGATATTTTCTCGTAAAAGAGAAAGAGTTATGCAACAGAGCATATTTTCTAGAAAAGAGATAAGATGGTGCTTTCTAACAAGGAATTTAAAAGAAGTCTAGAAAAGAAGAGTTAAAGTTGGAAATTTAAGTTACTGCACCTTCAGTTCAGATTGTTCTTTATGAGCAGTGGGGAGGGGCGGGTGTCAGTGGGTAGGAATTATGGAATAGAAGCCAGGAAAACATGAAGCGATGAAAAGATCCATAGGTACATGTGCATACCAGTCATTCTGCTATTAGGAATAAAATTTAAAGCCTTTTTTCTGGCAGACTTCCCACTGCAAGTGTTTAATTTCTCCTCCCACCTGCTTCTCCTCAGGAATAATGTAATGAACTAAGACATTTGCATTATTCATATTTGCTATTCAACGAATTCTTGGGTACACGATTCAGAAAATATCAGAAAGTAGGGTTCTTTATATCCCTAGCCTTCTATTAAAAAGTTTCCAACTGGAGATACTTGTTTCACAGTCATATGCTGTTTCCTGCTTTTAGAGCCAGTATTTTAACCTACCAAATCTGTTTTATTCCCGTGAGCATGTCTCCTTATTTCAGCCAATAATAATCTTTGAGGCTGAACCTTTCTTTTTTAAATCCTATTTATATGAAATTTGCCACATATCCCTGTCTACCAGCAGTCGCTTAACAGAATCCCTAGTAACTCACTTAAGTGAAACTCCCCTCATAAATTTAGATCAGCTATCTCTAGTTAAATTACATTTTGCAAGGAGTTCCTCACCAAATCCTGAAAAATTGTTTCCCTTATTCACCCCACAACTCGTGTTAAGTTAATAGGTCTTTAATTGCTTGTGGTATCTCGTGTCGCTTTTGTGAATAATGTTGCCAATTTCCTGTTCTCAGAAGTGAAACAAGTTCTCAAGCTACAGTGCAGCTATATTAAGGATGATTTGGTTGTTACAGCATAGCAGTAGAAATGCACGATCAAAAGAGCAGCGTCTCACGAAATTTATAAACACAGAATGCAAGTGAAAGATGAAGGTTAAAATGGGTATTGGTAAAGCATTATTTAGGTTCAAATACTGCCACTCCATTTTAAAAGGGACTAACCCAGACTTGGCAGAAGTGTTACTTGCTGGGAAGTGTTACTCAGGCACTGCATACTTAAGTTTGCAGGGTTTGTCATGTACAACACCAGGGAAAATCAGGCCTGACAATTAGTGGATGTGCAGAGAGGCTAGTGTCCTGCTCCTTTTCCATCAACGTTTTTGGCTGCTGCCATGGCTGTTACTCAAGTTCAAGCAGTTACAAAAGCCTAAGAAAAGCCAAGCTGAGCCCATCTGCTATTGGACTGAGGTCAGTCCCTCCTGTCCCCTGTCCACCCAGGCCACACAACCATGAGATTGGTTGAATGGTAAGCAGCCTTCGGCTTTGCTTCAGTGGCCAGTCTGAATCCATACCTGAGCATGAACTTGTTTGGAATCAACGCAGATGGTAGGCTAGACAGCCTAGGCTTGAAACCAGGCTTCACTCTTCATGTAGCTGCCAAGGCAGATACATGGCCGATGGTCTCCTCCAACTGTGAGGGCTGTTTTGGGTCCCCACCTCTTGCACAGGAGTGACCTGTAATTAGTTTATGTGGAAGAGTGCCCTGAGTATAGGCTAGAGGAAGAGTGATTTCCAAGTGCCCAGTCCATGACATAAGAAGGCAAGTAAGAGTGAAAAACTGTGCCTACTTTTCTTAATATGAATGCCATTTCAACTGCAATTTATGATGATCTGAATGACAAGAAGATGTCTAATTAAATAGACAAAACATTTGGGGCTTTTCCATCTGGGGCCAAGATTTCTGAGTTCAGTGTTCTCATAAAAGCTATTCCGATATGGACCATTACAAACTGATGTTGCATTCCTATAGAAATTAAAATATTTACATCCATACTGAAAACATAAATTCTATAAAATATTCCTAATGTGCAAGAGAAATATCCTTCTATGAAACTGCCATCACTTTCAAAATACTTCTAGGCTAGCGCAAAAACAATGTCCCTTAATTTCAGCAACTCAACAAATCTGGGGTAAAACCAGTCTCTACACAAGAAGAACATTAAACAGAGCAGAGAGAATGCTCAGTGCAATTCACTTCCATTGGTCGAGTCTATAGGGAAAAGATGGCCCTGCCAAATTCAATTTGCTTTGTTATGTTGGGGAAAATAATGCTTCTCTTAAAAAAAGCCCAGATTCAATTATAAATATAAGCAATTATGTTCCATTTTGCAGAAGGTCATGCATACAAGAAAGAGGCACATGGAATTGTTTCAAGAGTTAAATCAGAAATTTCAGACACTGGACAGATTCCGGGATGTACCAAAATCAGGCAGTATGGTAAGTTTTCCTCCTTAGATGTTTAAAATATGATGGATCCTTAACAACAACAATGAAACAAGAGTCCTTTGAATTCAGTATATTTCCTGAGAAGACCTCAGTCTGTGCTACCTTTAGATAGCCTGAGAAATTAGAACAAAAGATATTTTCAGTAATCTAGCCTATGACGAGACTCATTAGGTTTTACAACTAGACCATAACTAACTCACTGACATCATTATAGATGACAAGGAATTGAACTGTAGGGAACGCATTTCAAATCTGCATGAGCCCACCAAGTCTAAAGGAATTTATACAGAGAAAGCAGCTCACTAATGTAATTTGGCCAATAGGGCTTTTCCTCTCGATAGGCAAGCAGATACTAAATTAGTCACTACAAACAAGTCCAGCTAGATACACCTATACGTGAGACGGTCCAGAAAGCACACACGGTCTCTGTAATGCCATGTCTTTTCCATAATAGGTTTATAAATATTTACCATGGGAAAAGCAAAAATTAAATTATCCTGAGTTGACTCTGCTATCATCATAATTCAAATTTATACACACAGACTCATACACACAAGCATAACACCCTGACTACATCTGATAATGAGAGCAAGGAAATAGTTGATTCTGCCTAATTAAAACAGCTAATTTAGTGTGACATATTTGTTAGCGGTAATATTATGATTAGTAATAATTTTATATATCATTTTATAATGTGAAAATTGTATATGAAATGGAACTAAGCTAGAATCATTGTATTCTATAACTTTTTCAGAAGAGCTGCTCTCAGACATGAAGAAGAGGTATTAAGCAAATGCGAGGCCAATGGATTTACGTCATTTACATTATCTTAATCCAGCAGAAATTTGGCCCTGATTCTTTGATGAATCTTTAGTTGTGATATGTGTTATTTTGCACCCAGTTCTCGCTTACTCCCCCTTCTGAGATTTGCTGAAATGTAAAGTTTGCATTCGCCTCCCTATTTGAGATTTTCTGTCCACGTAAAGTTTGACTTAATTCAAAATCTCAAAGGGAATCTCAGTGGAAGAGTTGTGTTTACTGTTTCGCATCGGCTTTATGTTTTTGAAAGGTCTGCTATAAAAGCTGCCTAGAGGAATGGTCTATCTGTGAGACAGTCAGAGAGTGATCCAGGTACCTAAATATAGGCATCTCAGGCTATTTTAGAGAGCCTCAGATGTCTTAGTCCACAGCATGGTACAGGCAGTGACGACACAGGAATCAAAGGAGACCCGCACCTCTCGCGAAAGATAGTTCGGGACCAGGCAGAAAATCCAAAGGCACCTAAATGGTGCAAAAATGTTAAGTTTTGGCAACTAAGTCCCACCCAAAGTTACAGCAGAAATCACTAATTAAATTGGTCTCAGTCCATAATGTCTTTTACTCTGTAAGACCCAGCATTCAAAAAAAAAATAAAATTCATTCAGTAGAAAATAACCAGCTTTCAGCCTGTTAATCCTGATATACACGAGCTCATCAGCCTGTAAAGCAAGGGAGCTCTCACAGCGTTTTCAAGGACTAGGTTTCAGTGGTTGTGTCATGCACCTGCCCCAATTTAAAATCCAGCTGGCAATCTCTGTTTCAAACCACTCCATATTTCAGGCAGCAAGCTCTTCTCAATTACCTTCCCTTCTCTTATCCCACTTTTCTGCACAACCGCTATTAAAGAGATGGCTATAGGTACTGGATCACTCGGCCATTCCTCATGTATGTTGGTTCCTGTGAAAGAAAGGGCTTAGCTGGCAGCTCAGGTGAGGAGCCTGCCAAAGTGTTGATTGTTCACAGAGAAAGAGTCGCAACAGCGCTGAACACCCGCCAGCCTGGCTCCCTGCAAAGTCATTTCCACTCTCTGGCTTCTCCGTCTCATGAGAGCACATTAGCAATCAGCCTTAAAAACAGAAAACACATTAATTCATTCTTGGTTTGTTTTTTTTTTTTTTTTTTTTTAATTCTTCTTTCTTCTCTTCTCTTCAGGAGAACTCGGCACCGAACAAGGCTCCATGGGACAGTTACAAAACCACAGGCGACTACCAACACTATACAACGATAAATGTATTAGACACAGAGGCAAAAGATGCTTTAGAACTCAGACCAGCAGAATGGGAGAAGTGTCTGAACTTGCCTTTAGATGTGCAAGAAGGTGACTTTCAAACAGAAGTTTAACAAATATGAAAACAAACTGAACAAAACAAAAACAAAAGAAAAATAATTCATTGCACTGACAATAAAGAGACTTTGGGAATCCTGACGCTCCTGTCTGAACATTGAGACTACTTTATGTCAGGCTCTTCCTGTGCCAAATGTCAGTGGTTTTTTTTCGTACAGTATATTCCCACTAGTGCAGCTAGTGGAGAACCAGGTGTACAATTCTTACCATCGTGTGTTGTAAGTACCCGTGGAATGGATTTGTAAGGTAATCTTTATAGATAAACCTCAAGCAACGATTCATGTTGTAACGGCTTCATTTGGTTTAGTTTTCAAAAAACTTCACCATGAAGCACAATGTACATATTTATGCAGTTTTTAAAGTTTATAACAGTCTGTTTGGCCATTACTACACTTTTTACTTTATAATATAAAAGCAAAGTTTTTGTCATTAAATGAATGTCTGTTGAGCTACATTCTTCATTGCTTTAAATGCAATAAAGTAATAATCTCACTTTTATATGAATAATATATTTCACATCTTTATTATTGCAGTTTTCTCTGGAAAGCTCAGAGTAGCTTTCTCTGCTGCAGCTGTGTATAAAATATTTAAAATGTTGTATGGTGTAAATAAACCTTTGTCTACATATCAGTTTCTTAGTGCATTTTATTCTGTATTTGTTTATCTTCAATTTGCATATTTATAAAGTTTTCTTTAAAAACACACATACTGAATATGTATTTGGAGTTTTAATAGTATGTTGTTTTAGCTCCTGCAAAGGGTTTCTAAAGCGTATTAGTAGGTTCGTATAGCCATTCTGCTTTTTCTTAGGTATTCTTTTGTGGCAATGTACCATATAAATTGGACTTGTCAGAATACTACTACAATTGTTCTGTTTTATAAGAATTTTTGTCTTGTTGCAGAAAGACAAATAATGGAAAATAATTTAAGTTTCAGTGCACAGCACCCAAAGAAATTGTTGATTCAGAATCATTACATCTTGTGCATGGTCTTGTTGCTGTATAACAACAAGAAAGACTTTAAAGATAAAAAATTCTGAAGTATTTTAGACCAAAAAAAATGGAGTGTGTGTCATATTATAAAACAAGAGCAGAGCATGATTTATGTTAAAAATATAGTTAAACAATTAGGCATAGAAAGACTATATCCCCCTTTCCATGCTTAGAAGAAAAAGCAGATCTTCTTCTTCTCTCCTCATCTAGAGCATAGCTGGGGGGTGGGGCGGGGAGAAGAGGAGGATATCTCAAATCTTCAGATGCCATTATTTCTAGAAAAAGAGTTTCCAAAACTATTTTAGTTCCTGTTGAATGGAATTGAATATGCTGCATCCTAATAGCTGAAGAGCTGTAAGAGAGGAAGAAAACATGACCACCAATCTGCTTAGGAAGGAAAAAAAGACTAGAATAGAGGCTTATCAGCAAGAACTTATCCCAGCACATTCGTAGGAGGAGATTGTCATTCGTCAGCTGAAACAAAAGTACTTAGGCCCAACCTTAGGACCAACCCTCAGGAAACTGTTTCAGTTTGTAAATCCTTTCTCCAGGCCATAATAAGGTACTTAAGTCATGAAAAGGAGCCTGACTTTGCCTACTTTGAGTGAGCATCTCGTGCAGAGTGCAGACTTCTCTAATCTAATGCTTCAGCACAAATACAAAATAACTAGCTACCAACCTGCTATCAAGTCCATTAACTGCTTTAGGTGCCTAGAAGTTAGATGATGCAGTACCCAATATTGCAATCCATCAGTCAGTCTTATCAAGAGGCTGATGCAGAAGGAGGCAGCTGGCAAGTCTGGCTATGCAGCCTACTGACATCACAGCACTGAGATCAGGCAGCGTACCAGAAACCTCCCTCTCTTGCTTTGTTATCAAGTTCTGTTCTAAAAGGGGGTTGCTTTCCCTTTAGATAAATCACAGGCTGCTCAGAATCACAGAATGGTCAGGGTTGGAAGTGACCTCTGGAGATCATCTAGTCATCTGAAGGTGCAACAGAAATTGCACATTTTTTAAGGATTTCATCCAGTATGGTAGGCATCTCTCAAGCAGAGCACGTTTTACAGAATTTCTAACTTTTGAGACCACATCAGGATGCTTAGGCCTCTGAATCCAGATATAAGCCTTAGCGTCCTCCTTGATTGATCTAAACATAATAGAAATCTAGAGCACCTTTGTATTTCAATAACTATAGTGCAGAGATTATTTGCATAAGCTTTACACCACCTAAAACACTCCTGTTCAATACTGGTCTACTTACAACTGCAGAAAGCTTAAGGTTGGCTGCAAACTTATCCAGAAAACGTGACAAATCGGTCTACACTCAATACGCTGCTGACCTAGTTGTGCTGTTATTAATAACCCAGTAGATTCAGGTTTAGCATTAGCCTGGGTGTTTCTGTACCACGCAGCAGTCACCAATGTACGAGCAGCAATGCTCAGTGCCTCTTTATTTAGAGCTTGTGCTGCCCTGCCCATAATGTGCTAGACTTTTTTATTTTCCTATATATTTCGTATTTAAAAATATTAAGAACATGCCGAAACCCAGTCTATTTGCCTGCCGATTTGACTGCTTCATATTAAAGCAGAGTTTGTTTTTCGCGATCAAGACGCTGCACGTACTTGCAGTTTGCTGCTCAACGTCTCTGAAATGGTGCAAGTCAGACTGAACCCAGCAGGAGTGTAGAAACTTGTATGCGCTGGCTTAAATGTTGGTAGAGCACTGATGAGATGTTTGGCATTCTATTATATGCAAATAAAAAATGAGTCAGAACTCCCTACATTATACGAGGCGCAGAGATGACAGGGGGCTCTGCATTTGCCTGCCAGGGCGGGCTGGTGCCACCCGACGTGCCCTGTGCTATCTCACCTGGCCTCCAGCTGCAGTTGTTCGGGTGTTTGAGGTCTCAGCTAACCAGTGTTGCTGCAGCTGGCACTAGAGTATATTGAGGCAGTTGAGCTCAGCCTAGACTTTACCATGACCCTTAAAATATATATTCCCTAGATGTGTATAGAAAAAACAAGTACATTTTTAGGAAAGACCTCATTTTCTCAGCAGTTTCAGTACACATTAGTAATTGTATAAAACCATATGCAGTTCCTCTATCTCTGTCTTCCTCTTACATACATATACAGAGGAAGATTTTTTTTTCTGGCAAGTCAATGCTAAACAAAATGTGGCCTGGACTTTTCAGTATAGAGAAGCAGTGCGTACCAGAAATCTAGCTGAGCAGCCATCAATCACACAGACAGCAGCTCGAGATACCCATGATTTCACATCCAGGGCTGTATAAAGGGGTTTGGTGTTGCTGGCATAAAAGTGCTAACCAAGTTATTTGTTACACGGACTCTTGCCAATGTCATGTTATTTAACCCAGAATTTTCTGGGGAGGTAAACGCTGAATTAGTCATTATTGAACGTCAGCTCATACTCTGCAATGTCCCTTGGAAAGAAGAAGAAGAAGAAGAAGAAGGAGGAGGAGGAGGAGGAGGAGGAGGAAAGAGAGACTAAGTGCTGCTACAAGGGATGAGAGGAAGAATAGCAGCGCTGCCATGTTGATGCACCTTTGGAGTGCCATGGCCTTAATGGCGTATATGGAGCACTAGTAACTCCTTATGATGAAGACTTAGGAGAAAGCTGTAGCAAAAGACATTAAGGATCTTTTCCATTTCATTCACTACCAGGTCTGAATTTCTTCATAATCACTGAAACAGTGCTCTTCTCTGGGAAATGTTATCCTGAGACTCCTCCTCTCAGAACATCATTTGCTTCTATGATGATAAGACATAAATCACCCAATATTATTTTACATGGGGTTAAACTGGGGTAGTTTCTTTTAAAAACTAACAAGACTCCGACCAAACAAAAAGCCCCAGGGCCCGAGCTGCACCAGGTGAAATGTTCTCTGACGCTTTGCCTTGTCTCTGTTGCCCATAGTTGCTAGGCAATGCTGTGCTTAGAGACCAGATTTAACACAAGGTCTGCTTCCCGCTTGGAAGCAGGCACCCATCTGTCACAGCATCAGCAGTGTGCTTTCCATCAGGTTATGCAAAAGGATATGGAAATCTCTGTTAGCAATCAGCAGATGGAGACATTGTGTATTGGTAGTAGACTTCCAGTTCCTCGGGCATTATCTCGAGGCTGTGCTGTATCTCTGGATTAGCCACAAGAAGCAGTTTCTATGAGAAAACATTATTTCCCTCTCTAGAAAGGTGTTATAGTGCTCTCATGCAATCAAGCCCATTCTCATGTGCTGAGGGAAGTAAACAGAGGTACCGAGTTGAATATGTGTTTGGGGAGCTGTGATTCATTTTGAGACAGGTATCAACCAGAGCAAGGACGTAATCTTTCTACTTACTCTTCTGGAAACATCTTTCTTTCCAAGGAAAGCCAAAAAGGCCTCACTAAAAGAAATTCAATTGCTGATAAGATAGGCACAACTACTAAACCGAGCACTCCCACTGAAATGTTCTGTCCATTAATTACAATTGTAAGACAAAGAAAGAGCCGTTAATCTGGTTTTGTCAAAATTTCTCTCTTACATAGGCTCGTTTGGACTGTCCTGTGGCAATGAGTTACTCAACTACGCTACAGTACTGCTCCTCTGGCATGTTCTGAACTAGTTTCATTTTATACCTCATTTTTTCTTATGAGGAACAGTTAATAACTTTTACCAATTCAGCTTCCTCTCTTGACTACAAAGGCTTCTGCAATAGGCCCCACAATTACCTCTTTTTCAGGATTACAAACCCACGACCAGTTAGTCCTCAGGTGGAAGCCCTTCCCTGATTTCTACCATCCTTATCTCCTTTACAGCTTTTCCAGGTCTGCTAAAGTTCTTAAATAACTCTCAGTAAATCCTGAACTCGTTAGAGCACTCTGTTTGATCCCTGCAGAAAAAAGGAAAAACTCAGCCAGGAAGCTTCTAAAATGCCTTTTCATTTAGTAGGGGTAAAAAAAAACAAAACAAAACCACAAATGAAACAATACTCGAGTTTTAACTTTTTTATCTTTTTTTTTTTTTAATGGAAAATACATCTCTTTGAGCAAGAAATGGGCATCAGATAGCTTCTCTTAAGTAATTGTCTTGATGAGAAGACTTCAGTAATTTCTTTTCTGATGCTCCTTCTCTCTGGAGCTGTGAATGTAGACTTTCTTTCGTCAGTAGCAGTGCCGCAGCAAGACTGTTAGAGAGTTATCCACAGCCCATTGGGGGTGTTTTACAGTCAGAAAGTGAGCAAGGACTATGTGAATCCTTTCAGATAGAACAGTAATTGTTTTCCACATCCTGAAAGTGAGCTGAATACTGAGCTTTCTTCAGTTTTTGTAAGCCCCCCTTTCTCTAGCTATGTGTTGAAAAAGTGACGTCCGCTCACTTGGTGACTCTCCTTTAAAATTCAGAATGGGCACCTGAGCCAGGGAAGGGGTTGGAGCTACTGGTCATGACTGCGCATCCCTGTGACTAAGAGTTAAACACCTGTATCTCAAGAGAGGTGGGATTTAAGAAACAGCTCTAGTCTCAGTGTTTTCTTGTTGATTAGCTTAGGCAGCTATCGGGAAGCCCAGCTGGACATGTCTACTTTTTTGCATGCATTGTACAAGCAGATAATGTGCCTTATTCAACATACGCGG